CCAAGCTGACACAAACATATTGTACTAGTCTAATTTAATATTTAGTTAATTACAGGGCTCTCACATTTACAATAATTATATAAGTGAAACAATATACAAATGAGCAACATAGCTATGTTAATTACATGTTTGGATTTCATTGAAACATAAATGTTTTTCGTTATCCTGTGGAACCGGACTAGCTTGCATCCAAGCATTTTTGTCCTCTATATTATATACATTTTGTAATATTATGCTTGTCTACACAAAGTTTTTTTTATACATAATTAAAATTTTGTTTCATTTAGGTGTTGTATGTCGCCTGGTATCTTGTTATATATAACATTTAACTTAGAATCCCATGAACGAAATATCTACTTTCGCCAATCTCAAAGTTGGCTGACTTAATCTATCTTTATGTCTAGTTTGATAGTGGTGTCTGTCCGACACTTTACCAAATAACTGTAGGTTTTTCCTAACATACCTACATGATGTTTTCATAGATAAATTGACATGGCACGGTCATAATGCTGATGTCCTTAAACTTTTCTCCGACAGATTCGCGACGACCTAGGTTGCAGATAGCTCTGACGGTGCGCTTTTGTAAGATAAAGATAGACTCAATGTCAACAGCGTGTCCCCACAGCAAAATTCCATACGACATAATGCTATGAAAGTAACTGAAGTACGCTGTCTTGCCGTGCCTATGTCAGTTAACTGTCGGATCTTCCTGACAGCATTAGCTGCAGAGTTAAAACGTCCCGCTAAAGATGTGATTTGAGGACCCCATTGCAATTTGTCGTCTACAGTAATTTCCAGGAAAGTTGTCTCTTTTACAAACTCTAATCTCTCACCATTAAATAATATGTCACATTCGTTGCTTTTAACGTTTGGCAAACATATCTAATACATTTTGTCTTTTTATCGTTTAGTACTAAGTTATTTAATGTAAAACAATTTTGAACCTTCATTAGGGCATTATTTATGTCATAGTTATTTTAAAAAACTAATGAAGTGTCATTAGCAAATAATACCAATTACCATCTGCCGTTAATTTTTAAATAAATGGGGCAAGTCATTAATGTACGCTAAAAATAAGAATGGACCTAGTATTGAGTCTTGCGGTACACCCATAGATATGCTAGCATCCTGTAAATTTACTTTATTTACCTGTTCTTTAAGTTGCCTATCCTGCAGGTATGATCGCCCGTGTTATCAGTTATCGAGATAATACGAGTGTCCGGCGTTAGGTGCCATCTGGCGTTACGGTACTTCCCCCTACCCCTTTTCAAAATAAAAGGAGTGGTCTTATCGAAATAATAAAAAAACTAATATTTTATTGTTCAATATAAATTACAAAGTCATCATTATTACATTAAAACTTGCTGATAGTGGGAAGATACCGGCTGATACAGTCTTAAGATTGATAGGTTCTTAAGCAAGTACGTACGTAAAAAATTATCTTTTTTACGTTCCATCATCGAATGACTTCTCTCGCCCCGATAATCCGTTAAGTTCTTCGCGGCTTCATATCGGCATCAGCCCTATTGAGCCCCATCTGTGATGGCGCTTTGAGCCGCACGCGGAACGCGACGCAGCGCATGCTCGGGTTTCGTTCTGGTCGGGCGGCGAGCCGTCTGAAGGCCCGTACTTGCAGTGGCCGGAGATCGTCTCGCCTGGAGTGCCTCATCCCCGACGCCTGGAGTGTCCTTCACGACGGCTGGGGCGTGAGGAGTTTCGTTCCCTCACGCGCCCCGCCTCCTCCCGCGTCGCCGTCGCCTATCACATCCCTGCTGAGGACACGGCGGTGCTCAGCCCACGCAGGACATACCGCCACCGCATGTTCCACTGGGTACTCCGGGTGGTCCTCGCAGTGATGGTCCTTTACAACTTAGGAGCCAAACTTCGGAAACGCTCCACAAACTTCCACCAACTGTCGTGGACGAGTCCCAGGTATTTCATCGTCGTCTCGACGCCGATGGCACGTTCCCGCGACCATAACAACACTTGGCCTCGGACTTGTGGAGCGCCACCTCGAGTCCCAATAGCCGGATTCTTTCAACGACTGTCGCAACCGCTGTCGCCATTAAATCGGCCGCCGCCTGATACGACCTTCCGTGCGCTAGCACCAGCGTGTCGTCGTCGTAGCATCTGCATTTGATGCTAACGCCCCTCGTCAGTCATAGCCGATTTATAAAGTAATATGACTTATAAATCTGGCGCAGTCGATGCTCTAAGTTTGCTTCCTGAGAGGTTCTAACGAAGTGTAAGGTAAGTATCATTTTATAAAAATTTAAATATATCTTGTTAAATAAATGTCAACCTTATGTGACAAAAATATAAAGTTGTCAGATAATTGACATTTAAAAAATATGTAACTCTTATTATAGTTTTAATTTTGAAATAACAGATCTACCTATACCTATTTTGATGCTTCAAAAATACCCGTAGCTGCCGTACTTAAGGTATTTAAACTGTCAAACACCGCGCGGTCACCGGTGACCGCAACCTGTTGTTCTTTAATTGTGTCTATAATGACGGTATTTAATGAGTTAATGATTAAATTATTATGTTTTCGGCTTACTCACGTAGTAATTCGACGAGGAACTCGACTAGTTTCAAGCCATGCTATAGGCTCATATTCATGAGCAGCATTTCGCGACCCGCGACGCGGCGACTGTCGCGCTGCTACTGGCTACTCGAGTCTGCGGGCCCAGCGCGCCCTCTGCCGTGATTCACGCGCACTTTCTTCCATTCGTGGTATCGGCGACGGCGGCGCGCGTGGCACAGTTGGCACGCTAGACTCGCCCGCCGGTAGCTGCGTTGGTGTTGTTGGGTTCGAATCCCGGGTCGACGCAAAAACAGTGTTACATACTGTTTTTGCGCACCGACGCGGCTAGCCCGTGGCGTAACTACAGGGTGGCTAGTCGGCACAATGCCCCCAGCCGGAAGGCGCCTCCGTTCAGAAACTTTTGTCTGAAGATTTGTCTTATTATAGGGAACGGGGTGCCTATACCATGAATTTGTCACGGTCCCCGAGCGGTATAGTGATACCACTGCTATCAGCAGCTATAGATAAAGTCAAAAATAAATGTATAGTTTGACGGTCTTTTAATTTTTAGATGGTCGGTATAACTATTTATTCATTCCAGATATATGTATAGTGTCTTTTACGGTGATTTTTGGAACTATAGTGAAAAAAATATAAACTGCTTGTAGAATTCTTTATGTAAAGTATAGACAGGGTTGAGACCTTCTCAGAAGGTGAGTCTTTTTGCTCTTTAATTGTGAGAATAATGGGTTAAAAATAAATAATTATATGGGAGAGCCATGTTTCGGCACGAATGGGCCGGCTCGACCGGAGTGATACCACGGCCTCACAGAAAACCGACGTGAAGCAACGCTTGCGTTGTGTTTCGTCGTGTGAGTGAGGTTACCAGAGGCCCAATTACCCTCCCCTTCCCCAATCTCCACAATCCCTGAATCCCCAACGATCCTCAAACTCCTTATCCCCAAAATGCCGGTAACGCACTTGTAACGCCTCTGGTGTTCCAGGTGTTCATGGGCGACGCCGATTGCTTACCATTAGGTGATCCGTCTGCTCGTTTACCGGTATATGCCATAAAGAAAAAATTCTGGCGTTCTATGCATGCGGGCTATGCAGGCGTGCATGCTATCTTTATTTTTCAAATCTTATTCCTAACTATAATAATTTTGTAAACAAACTTTAAATGATTAATTATTTATTAAATGATTAAATAATGGTATGGTGACGATCTTTAGTAAATCATTTTAAAATAACCCGCCTTAAATTATTACAATTTTGTTTCTCTAATATTATTTATGTTGTTTATATCTTATGAACAATCTATATCTAATGTATAATATTGTAATTACGTGAGCTAGAGTATATTTAAAAATGTACATATTATCATGGTCCTACCAAAATGAAGAGCGAAAAGTGTTCATTTATTTTTATTTAATTATATTTATTAATTATTCGAAGGAGTGCTGCCACCTCGCGAACATATATTTATATATATTTTTAAACAGTCACAACGGTAGAAAACTCAATTACAGTAACTAACATAACATTTAAAATAGAAAAAAGCGACAAAACAATGATCTGATACATGTGACCATAATGGCGTAAATAACATTGGCAACTCATCGGCTTAAAAATACAATTGTTTAATTAGAGAAAATTAATTAATTTATAACTTTGTTTGTAAATACTTTAGTCTTTATTTATCTTAACCTTATAATAGTTATTTATTATTTAGTTTATATATGTCTACATATTATATATGTAGATTATTATAGCTTTATTCCTGTATGGATATCACTATATTCTACAGAATCTTTTTAATAACATATTATAAAAATTACAATTTAAAAGACCTGTCATTAGAGAAAATTAAATTGAAAATCTATACAATTAAAGTGACAATTTAAAAAGTTCAACTAAAATAATTGTCAATTTGTATATTGATATTATATGTGTTAAAAAAATGACAATATTGAAAATAGATGTCAGTGTTACCATTATGAAGTTATTGAGACTTTGTTTTAGTGGTTTGTTTATTTAAAAATATTAATATAATTTGTTGATATTTGTAATTTGTTAGTATTCAGTTACTCTCACTTAAACTCGAGAATAATGTAGTAATTGGGCTGATTTTAAAATAATTATAGAAGTTAAATAAAATTATATTAAGTTTTAACCATGATAATCAAAATTCAAAATATTCTACGGCTAGTATTTTGTTATATAATAGGTTCGATGAACTACACAGTTCATAGTTAATCGAAGTTTAGTAGTGAGGACTTTAGTTTACAAATCGTGATGTTTTTTGTAAAGTGGCTATGTAGGCAATCATCTTAAACTACTTTTTTATTTATTGCAATCTTATATTACCAATTTGAATGGTAGTGCGTATGATCAATGTAGGTATATACCCTCCATACATACAGAGGGAGTGGGCATAAATATATCAGAAATGAAAATGCTGTAGTTATTGAAACCGTAACACTTTATTTCTTAAATAACTTAACAGGCATTTATTATAACAAAGATAATTTAATTGAGCTCGTTGTTATTGCAGGGAATAGCAAGCAACTAATTTAAATGTACTTTTACTGAATTATTTACAGTTCGGTGCGTTTGTTCAGCCAGAACTTCTTGATCATGTCAGCTCCCTTCTCTCCAATCATGATGGAGGGCGCGTTGGTGTTGCCTCTTATAACAGAGGGCATGATACTGGCGTCAACCACTCTCAATCCCTTTACTTTGCGTACTCTCAGCTCGGGGTCAACGACTGAGGTCTCATCACCATCAGGTCCCATCTTAGCGGTACTGGTTGGGTGGTACAAGGACCAGGTCAGCTCCCGAGAGATGCAGTCCAAGTAGTCGTCGCTGCTCTTGTCGAATTTCTTGCAAGCGTCAATGTCCAACCAGTCAAGTTTGAATCCAGCCTCCTTAAGAGCCTTGGTTTCACCCAATCTCAGAGAGTGTTGTTTCATCGCCCTGATAACGGTAGCCATATCTTCGGGGTCCTTGTAGTAGTCAGCGAATAGCAGAGGAGCCTCGAATGGGTTCTTGCTAGCCAATAGAATCTTACCAGCAGATTTAGGCTTCAACAAGGTGTTGTAAATCACCAACGTGTATTGGTCTTCGTTCATTTTCTTGAACTTATTGTATGCCTCATCGTTCAATCCGTGCTTCTGGAAAATGTCAAGCACGTTGTACACACCAGGAGGCAGGACGAAGTAGTGGAACTGCATGTCAGAGGCAGGTGATTCTGGGTCAGTGGTGTTGATGAAGCTGATGACACGGTTGGGGCTAGTGTTGATCAGAGGTCCAGTACCTTCCAAGACGTATTGGGCAAAGTTCTTGACAATTTTTTCGATAGAGTAGTAGTTTTTGTCTCCAGGCTTAGTGTAGAAAGTGGGCACGTATAAATGGTCCTGTAAGTTTTCTCCAACGGGCAAGTCAGCCTTAACTTCGATTTTCATGTCTTCCAAGTGCTTCCTGGGTCCAATACCAGAAAGCAGCAAGATGTGTGGCGAGTTAATGGCACCAGCAGACAGGATCAACTCTTTCTTAACGTTTACAACGATATCCTTTCCATCTTTGTGAATCATGACACCGCTAACGATGTTGGTTCCAGGCACGAACAGAACTTTGGTGGCTTGCGCGTGTTTGATGACATGGATGTTCTTCCTGTCCTTGATTGGGTTCAAGAAAGCACGAGCGGTACTGAACCTAGTTCCATCCTTGGTTGTAGTCTGCGAAGTCATAACTCCCATTTGGCTTTCACCGTTGATGTCAGATGAGTTCTTTAATCCAAGTTCAACAGCGGCGTTGATGATCATGTGCTCGAAGTCGTGAGACTCTTTGTCAACGGCTACATTGAGGTTACCCTCCCAGTTGTGGTATTTCTTGTTCTGTTCATTGTAAATTCCAGTGAATTTCTCACTCTTAATGAAGTAAGGGAGGACTTCATCGTAGCTCCATCCGTAGTTACCATCAGCTGCCCATTCGTCGTAGTCAGCCCTGTTTCCTCTGACGTAGAACATGAAGTTAATACTGCTGCTGCCACCGAGTGCTTTACCACGGGGCCAGGCGCATCCCTTAGCTGTGTAACTTCTGCAAGCACCTTCTTGAGGCTGAGTCTTGTAGGCCCAATCTTGAGGACTGCGCATATTGTTGTAGAACAGGTGGGGAATCTGTAAAAGAATGACATTGTTATTATTCTGCAACCGCGGTATTATATAAATTACTGTATTTGCTACAATAATTTTACTCTAGTTATTTATTAGATACTTTGTATTTTTCGTCTATAGTCAGCAAAATAAATGTTGTAAGACAGTAAGAAATGGTATATACCTCGGTGTTCAGGGTAGGGTTGCCTCCAGCTTCTACGAGTAAAACCTTCCATTCTGGGACCTCACTCAGTCGATGGGCGAGTGTTGATCCTGCTGACCCTGCTCCCACAACTATGAAGTCGTAGTAGGGGTCTGGAAAGAGAACATTAGGCTTAATGTGCTGGTCTTCCTTGACACGCATACAGTGACACTTTACATTGTGCAATATTAAATTGATACCTAAAACTGTTACAACCCTTAATCGGGCACAGGGAATTATTTTCCCATCATGTTCTAGTCTATTAAAATGTATTGACGTAATCGGGCAAAGGGAAATAATTTCCCACACGAAAAATCCTTTTCTTTTCAGTTTCAGTAATTTATATTGTTTTTTATGTACAAAAACGTAACGTTTATAAAAAAAAAAAAATGTAAAGTTATTTTTTTTTTGTTCGGCCCGATTAAGGGATTATATAATGTCTATTATTTACCTTCAAGAACCTTGTCGATGGCGTCAGCGGGCCACAAGTGGTCTCCGACCAGCGCACACTGGGCAGCGAAGAACGTCTGCAGTGTTTGCATGAACAGTGGACCAACTGTCTGGTAACTGTTCACGATGTTGGCGGTCAGCGCCGGATCACACGCCCACGACATCTTGGCCTGGTGCAAAGGAATTAATAGTCAATATAGCAAATAGAAGACAGCTACTTACAGAAATTATAATCGTAATTCGTGCTTGGAGTTGAAATGACAATAAATTTCGAATACTAATTATAAGGAAAAACAGGACTAAATAGGAATTTTCGAAAAATAAAGTTATCGATCCAAAACTTTGAGTAATATTTTTTTAAAGATGTAAGAAACAAAATATCTTAGGTCTGAGCCCCGTTGAGCAAAGCCAAAAGAAGTAACCTATTCAAAGTAATTGAGTTGGTTCAATAGACCTCCCAGTAAGAGTAGAAGAGAAGAATAAAATGAACTCAACAAGATCAACTTTTTGAAATAAGTTCTTGAAGTTAACTCACCTCTTGTTGATCAGCTCCTACTATAGAAGTGTATGAAGCTGACAGTTCCAAGAGAGCTGGCAGAATGATTTGCTTTGGGACTGGTCCAGATATAAATACCCAGCATTTTAGGTACCCATCATACGTCACAAGGAGATAATTGCAATTGTGTTATTGCTAAGTTATCGTAATGGCCACTAATTTGTAACCTCTGAATTTTTATGTAACTTTTATCAAATTATTTTAAACTAATTGTTCCTCGCTACTTCTGACACGTAGAATCATACCTTCATAACTTCTGGCAGCTTTGGATTTTTTAATTGAGTAGTATTTTCCGAGGTATATTCTACGGTTGTATTATATATCATCAAAATCGATTGAGTAACTAAGTTATATTTATGGCGAGAAATAAAATTATGACTGCTTCGTTGGCTGAGTGGTTGCAAGTTCGACTGCCGGGCAAGGGGTCTCCGGTTCGATTCCCAGGTCGGACAAAGCATAACTGGGTTTTTAAAAAAATCTCAGTTCTTAGTAGCACGGAGTCTGGAATTGTGCCCGGTATATGACAATAGGCTCACCCCCTATTACATGGGACTCATAGCTTAAATAGTTAAAAGTGGGTGAACAGTGAAAACATTGTACAATGGTATAATGTGCACCTCTGCCTTCGGGGATAAAAGGCGTGATGTTATGATATTATATTAATAAATTTATTTTTGTGGTTTCAAAAAATATACAATCCCACAGCGGTTTTTGTAAAACTTTTGTAGTCGCAAACCAGAGTTTGAGACAGGGGCCTTTTCAATGAACCAAAAGATTGAGAGTCCCGGGTAAATACCGGGATTCTCAATCTACATACACATAGTTCCCGTTCTTCTAGGATTTTCGGGATATTACTCTGGTACTAATAATGTAACTGTAATAGTTTGACACATAATATCCCGAACTTTTACATTGATATTTATGTTCTCTCTAAGACTTTCTCCTTCTTTACTGTGCTTTTTTAGTACATCACTTTGCCTATTAAATTCAAACAAACAAACAAAAAATGTAATCTTTCCTTTTTATAATATTAGTGTAAACATTCGATTGTTAAGTCTCGTGCAGACTATCTGGTCACCGAAATGCTGAAAAAACTGGATATAGCATAAAGTTTTGTTACATGAACATTAAAAACAAATTAAATCCATATAATGTGAACCTTCCAAGAGTTGACACAATATTTTCTTTCCTTCTTTATCATTAATGTTCTCATCGATTCACGTAACTGCTTGACGAGGAACTCGACTAGTTTCAAGCCATGTTAGATACTCGTATTCATGAGCAGCATTATGTGACACGCGACGCGGTAATTAATTTAGTATGTCTCACGAAGGTTATAATAAAATGACATCATAAGAGAAGATCTGTAAATGCTCATCATTTACAAATCTTCTCAATTTACAAATGATGAGCATTACAAATCTTCTCTTATGATGCCATTACTTTGGTACTTTTAACTGCGCGGTTGGTGCGGTGGCTGGGCAACCGACTTCCGTTTGTTTTTTTGTGGGACGAAAATCATCCTATGATTTCTCACGCCTTGGGAGCGGCGAGATAGAGTGTCAGACAGTTACTAACGAAAAACCACCTCGTTCCTACTCCTGCTTCAAATCGGAGCTGCACACAACTTAATGGGTTTACCGGGACATCGGCTCTATGCAGGTATAGGACAGTTCTTAGTCAGTAAGAGTCTGACACTCTCACCTCACCCAAGCCGGGAGAAGTCAGTGGATTTTCTCCCTTCAACAAAAAGAGGTAAAGGTTAGCTACTTCATATGACTGGAAAGCCATAGTCAATTTTGCAAGATGTATTACTACTCTTTGAGAATACACCTTAACATAAAATTAAGATTTAAAGGAAATTAAACCTTAGTATGTTATCTTACTAAAGCTGACGAGGGAGATACACTTTGACCACATTAATGCTATTGTTTGCTATTTTCAAGGTTGTATTGCTTTTGATAAAAAGCTAAATTATCTTTTTATGGTCTTATCTTCAGCAATTAACCCTCCGGGATTTGATAGAGTGGCTCGCGACCAAATTAGTATGTTACTTGGTCTCGTGAATATGACAGGGCCCTGAATATTTGGTATACACAGTTTTTGTCACAAACAATTTTAATCACTGCCATTGTCATACGAGTGAGGAAGGTTTGGGTCGTAATCAGGATTTGGATAATGCGCAGTTATAGCATGTCACGTTATGTGTTTGGTAGGATTATTTTCCATAGGGAGGTGGTGTGATGTGTTGTATTTTTTGTGTTTGTTAAATAGGTAGCTTGTGCACGAATGGGCCGGCTCGATCGGAGTGATACCACGGCCTCACAGAAGACCGACATGAAACAACGCTTGCGTTATGTTTCGTCGTGTGAGTTAGGTTACCGGAGGCCTAATCACACCCCCCTTCCCCAATCCCTGAATCCCCAACAATTCTTAAATTCCTAATCCTAAAAGGCCGGTAACCAGAGGTGTGCATTGACACCTGTGTCAATGGGCGACGCCGATTGCTTACCATCAGGTAATCCGTCTGCTCGTTTACGGGCAAATCCCCAAAAAAAACGTTAATATTTCGTGATGCATCCTCTTGTCAGTTATTTGCTACTCTGGTCTGGTTTAGTGTCGTTCAACACGTCAAGGAAAATGTAGCAGTTGACTGCATGCCATACATTCTCTGTCTGGCTTTATCTTGAAGAATGTTGCCCACGGTCTTATACGTGCTTAGAAATTATAATATTATTATTTTTTGACTAGCTACTTCCGCGCGGTTTCACACGCTCTGCTCAGCTCCTATTGGTCGGAGAGTGATATTTTATAGCCTATAACCATCCTCGATAAATGCGCTATCCAACACAAAAGAAATATTCAAATCAGACTTGTAGCTACGGAGATTAGCGCGTTCAAACAATCAAACAAAAAAACAAACTCTTCCGCTTTATATAATAGTATACGATATATATAGAGGTATAGTATAAGAGTATAAGATTTCTACGTTTTAACGTAGTAATCTTAATCGTAATCTTGTACTCTTATATGCGAAATTGTGAAGACATGTTATCTTCTATTTATTTAAGTACCTAAGTAAGTACTTTCTTAATGCTTCGTAATGATGCTTAAGAAACTTGTTAGCTTTTAGGTCTCTACAACCGATATTTGTTTATTTATTTTTCATAATGGGGCCGTCGGTAGGGGGCCAGATTGGCGATGTATTAAAGAAGAGCCAAGATCAAAGTACCATTAACCGACGAGCATGTATGAAAAGACTTTTAACTGTTGAGGAAGAATCGTCGCAATTGGCGTTCCGTAGTTTCTGCCTACCCCTTTGGGAGACAAGACGTGAGGTTATGTATGTATGTATTGAGGACTTCATACAATTACAGCATACTCAGTACTAGTTGTGTATTTGTTAATCAGAAACAAAAGTGATGCATTTACAATGTACGTACCTACATATTTATATATTGTATGCACCTTTGTACATTGTTCCATGTTCTATATGTGAAACTATAGTTCAAGAACCTCGCATTGAAACAGAATAATGCATTCATGTCAGTTTTTAAAGAACCTACTTTAAAATCAAGGTTGACACTGTGGAGATTGATAGTACCTAGATAGAAAGAAGACACCTATTTTTAACCGACTTCAAAAAAAGGAGGTTCTGAGTTTGACCTATATGTATGTATGTATGTTTGTACGTATCTTGCGATTGACTTAACTGATTTTGATGCGGGTTTTATACGTAGGAGAAGGTTTTAGTATATTAACTGACTACAAAAAAAGAAGAAGAAGGGAAGAAGAAAAAGAAGGGCTTGATGTCGGTTATTGATACGTACTTTATAAAAGAATTATTTATCAATTTACGTTTAAAAACCCGACATTAAGCCCTTCTTTTTTTGTAGTCGATTTGTAGACATTTACCATGTGTCGAGCACAACATTACACATAGTATGTTATGACTGAGAATATAGAAAAATATAATGACGGAATATATCCCAATGATGTAAATGAATCGAAATGTATCGAATATCGGTTTATTTATCTAGCCATAAATTATCCACTGATTTACAATGCATCACCTTTATAATTGCATAAACCACAGAAATATTAAATCTACAGACAAAGAAATTTTCTTTATTATATCTATGATATAGACCAATTACTAGATAGTATAAAACAAAGTCGCTATCCACCGTCTGTCTGTCCCTATGAAAGCTTAGATCTTTAAAACTACGCAACGGATTTGATGCGGTTTTTTTAATAGATAGAGTGATGCTTAAGGAAGGTTTAATATGTATAACGCACGACGACAAATAAGCTGTGAACGTTGTGTATAAGGACATTCTGTAGTAGGTATTTTTACATAAGCATTGCACCCATGCGAAGCCGGGGCGGGTCGCTAGTAATATAACAAAATGCACATCAACGTAATTATCCATACATATTTTATTACATTTTAAACAATAGGACGGCATTTCTTAGATTAGTAAGCAGATTTGTTCTACAACAGCAATAACTCTTAACTGGCGTGATTGGGTGATAAGATAGAAGTTGAAGAAGTATGTATCGTAGTTAGAAGGTGATGCGCTATTGTTCATCCCTTTGTCTAATTGTGGATGCGATAATAGTGGAGTATGAATGACTGTTATATAGTAAGGTAGATGCCTAATTCTTATTTTAATCCCCGTCTGGTAGATTATTTAAAAACATTAGACACGTATTTTTTATTTTCTTACAGAAACGAATACTTTGAATTGATACATTGAATTGAAATGTCGCGTGATATCACTTCTATGTACATTTTATACGTAGAAATGACGTTTGAGCCCCCACTCCTAAACTTTGATTCGTTTTATCTAAGTATTGTTTTATTATATGACAAAATAAAAAATACGTGTCTAATATTTTTTCATTTCCTAACATACGGACTAATTAGATTTTTAATTTCCATACCCCGTCATCATTCTTATTTAAGTGCAATGCGAGTTGAACTTGTTTGCTCAAACTCGACAGTTACAGGTGAGACGACTGAACCAATGACTCACTTTGTGTTGTGACGCAAATTGAAATATGAGACAGTCCAGTATGAATTTTATTTTAAGTAACCTAACTGAAGTATATAAAGGAAAACAATGATTGGGTAAATGGTTTATTAATAAATACTTAAACCTATATAAATGAAGACAATAGTGTAAAAAAATACTCAATAATCTACTTCATATTTTTCACCGTTATAATACAGCCATAGCTTGCACTTTTTTCTTTCACCAGGAGAAGCTACTTCACTCCTCCCATAATAACTAGGCCCGTCACCACCATAATAATAAAAAGGATTTGGTTCTGAACGTAAGTTCTTGTAAAGCTGGTTACCTAATCGTGAAGAAGGAAACGAAGGACGCGATAATCCATAATTTGCACCATAATTAGGGATATTTTGGGGATAATATGGATTAAACCTTCCTCGAGGACGTCCATAAAAATATTTCGTTAAAGGATTCTGTGGACGAACTTTTGAGTTACGACGTGGAATATTCAGAGGCCATATTTTCTGAGATAGTTCAGTTAGTAAAGGTTTTTCACTTGTATAAGACGGAGATGCAACTTGGCTGCCAATATCGTAGTCCTGTGTTCTTTCTGGATAGTTAAAAAGGGATGGAAAGATACTCTTTGTTTCATTAAAAAGGTCTGGTGATGTTTTCAGTCGGATCTTTGTTGGTTCATCATTTTCCGTGTTCGTAGGTTGCTGGTAGACCGGGTCTGGTATAGTGTACGCTGGTTCTAGGATAATCTCGCCCCAATCCTCTTTGATCATGTCAGCTGCTTTCTCTGCTATCATAATGATTGGTGCATTAGTGTTACCGCTCACTATTTTTGGCATTACGCTACCGTCGACTACTCGAAGTCTATTGATGCCATATACCTGGAAATTAATTAAATGGTGTTGTAGCATAGGATCTTGAATGTCTAGTGTATAACAACTACGGCGCGTCGCGTTCCGCGCGCGCCTCAAAGAGCCATCAGACCACCACAGATGGGGCCCAATAGGGCCGATGCCGATTCGGAGTCGCGGAGAACCTAACGGGTAACCGGGGCTCCGGCTCGACGTGCAGGAGAAGGAACGGGGTGGTTTTTAGTCAGTAAGAGTCTGACACTCCCTCCCGCCTCACCCAGACGGGGGCAGTCATTCGATGATTTTCCCCACTTAAAAAAAAAAAAAAAGTGTATAACAATAAGTTCACCCCTTATTACAGCGGGCTTCATAAAACGATTAGTGAAAAACTGATATGTTAATATGTTGTTCCGTTGTTATTTAACACCTCTGCCTATCCCCCTTATGGTGATAAAGAGCGAGATGACAAGCTGTCAAGTCAAAAATAAACAAATGCAACACTATAACAAATTTTGTATGGAGTATGAAGCTTATGCCAATATTCTTTCTCTAGTAACCTAAGTAATTTATGGGTTACAGGGATCATAAACCTTTCAGTAATAAAGTATTGAGAATTTGGTCTTCAAGACATTACCTTTAGTCTAGAATCAACTACAGCTTCAGGGTCTCCAGCTGGGCCCATAGCACAGGTGCCTACTGGATGGTATATCGTGAGGGAATGATGCCTCGCCTGGCATTCCAGGTGTTCTTCAGACATTAGCTCGTGGTGAGCACAGCCAGGGTTCCGACGAGGGTTTGGTCGAGCATTCAGTTCCTGTAGAGCTGGTTGATTCACAATTGCTTGCACTATGCGAGCACCTTCGATCTGGAAAAAAGCGATGACTGTTACAATCGGTTGGAAGATTTTGTCTATTCGTGCATATTTCACAATTTTACGAGTCATAAATTGAAGGTAGAATATTTATATTACCTCTTTTTCTAAAGTAATTTATGTCAAACTTAAAGGCATCAAATATTCGGCGACTAATTTTCTGAATTAATTTCTATTAGTCACCACAGATAGTATCTCATAATATTTATCATGTGCTTTAATCTAAGCCATTTGAAATAAACACTAAATGATAATACCTATAGTTCTTTTTTCATACATAAGATAAACCATCGAAATCTACGTTACTAACATAATTCGCAATAAATTATTGAAGTAATTACAATCATGTTTAATAACATAATGATGTTTTACAATAATTACTATAACCTTTCACTTCCGTGACCCAATGACAGCAATAATATAATCACACTTAACGTTCCACTGCGTTTTATCAAAATTATAACATTTTATATTGTGTTAGTCTTAATTTGTAGCTATTTAACGTTTATCGAAGAGATAATATACAATGTTTGTTTGTATTATATTATAACATAACTTTGAAGGTCTTTATAAATAGTAAACTACGTACCAATACTTTGATGTCTTGCGGGTCACTGAAATAGTTTGGGTAAATCAGCGGTGGGGAGTTGGGGCTTGCATCTCGCAGTTTCAAGTATCCGCGGCTGTTTGGTCTCAGTAATAGTGGCACTATGGAAAACGAAGACTCATACAGGATGTCTTCATAAAGTGCTGCGTAAGTGTCGTCTGTTAACCCATTGGCTCGCTTACCAAACCAACCGCCGTCCAGATTATCTGCCGTAGGAGCTATGAATAACTGTACGTCAGGATAATCTTCACTAGGATCTTGATACTTAGTATTCACAAACGCCATTGCTTCAGCCTCCATCATACTGTATAGTGGTCCACTCTTATGAACGCTAAAGTCAACTAGACTTGCTACAGTTAAAACTTCAGGTAGATTAAAACAATAAGGTGTACCATTCTTGTAGGGGTTGTCAAAGAGAAATGAATGACCTCCCATAGCAATATGGTCTTGAAGATTCTTCCCAACTCCAAGAAGATTAACTATCGGGTGTATTCCAACATCTTTTAGGTGGTCCGCGTCACCTATACCAGACAACATCAGTAACTGTGGAGACTGTATCGCTCCAGCAGATAATATGACTTCTTTACTTGCCTTCACAATACGTTCTTGTCCATGTTTCCTGAATTGAACTCCATACGCAGCATTTTGCTCGTCTATCAACACTTTTTCTACCAATGAATGCACACTTACATGGAGATTCTCCCTCTTCGATGCTGGTCGTAAATAAGCCTTCGCAGTGCTACAACGAAGTCCTTCACGAACTGTTGCTTGGGACCGCGTAAAACCAGTTTGGAACTCTCCATTCACGTCGCGGATCTCGTACCCTAGCTGTTCACCAGCTTTCAAAATATCTCTTGTAATTGGATGTTCGTAAGCGAAGTATTCAATTGTCAGAGGGCCACCAGTCCCGTGATATGGATCGCTCTGATGTTCAGGGATCCTCATATCTTCTGATTTAAGAAAGTAAGGCAACACACTGTCATATCCCCATCCTTGATTCCCCATACGTTCCCAGTTATCGTAGTCCCGTCTATTCCCTCTTATGTATAGCATAGCATTTAACACACTGGAACCACCGAGCACTTTGCCACGAGGCCACTTGCACTTCCCTTCCACCATACTCAAACAATATGCATCACTAGGTTCAGTTAAAAATTGCCAATCAATAGACGAAGTTTGTAGCACGGGGAACAAAACTGGTACTTCTGATAATACATTCTCATCTTGTCCTGCCTCCAACAAAAGTATTTTCCAGTTAGGGTTTTCAGACAGTCTGTTAGCTAAGACTGATCCAGCAGATCCTCCGCCAACTATGATGAAATCATATGTATCGTAGAGTTGTTCAAAGGGGTGATCTCTGACTCGATTCTCGGCGTCTTCGATGTCAGGTCTGTAGAGATGTATGGCCATGCGGAGTATTATCACGATACCGAGTCCTGGAAGTAGTCCAAAGGTGATCCTGTTATTGGAGAGGAGCCCTCGTAGCGACGGTGAACTGTGACTCGACATGATGACACCATACTAATAATAACACACACGCGACTGATGCACCGACACTGATATGGAATTAAATTGAATGGCTGCCGATTCGGCACAATGTATAAGTTATTGTTTATTATGTTGCTATTGTGACACTTGTGAATCTTACACAGAGTAATTAATTAAAATATTGTTGTAACAGATTTCTTTAAACAGTTTTAGTTTATCGCATTGTGTCCTAGTCCTAATACAGTTTACCCACGAGTGTCACATAGAAGATTTTTCGTTTGCAGTCCTATTTTTATACTACATGAAGAATGGATAACATAATTATCTAGCACAAAAGAAGTATCAAAATGAAATTACAACTTTTTCAAGGTTCCGTGAGCATTTAATTGTTACTATGATGTAAGTAATACGTAAACAATATGAATGTGAATTAATTATAACTGATTTTATACTTTGAACCCAGTCTGTTACTGATTTTACTACTCTATAATTAATTCATCGTATCACAATAATCAATTAGTGTCAGCATGTTACTGACGACGTATTATGACATCGCAGGTCTCTGACCTAGAAATGGCGACACGAGAGAAAACACATTGTCTTAATAAAGTCATTTATTATATATGAACACGACCTATCCTTACCTGAATAAATTACAACTACGTGCTACAAATAAATAGGAAATAAATAAATTCACAATAATCAGTGGAGACAGGAAATATTTACAACAACATTCACTCGTCCATAATACTGATAGAAACTTTGTTTTGTACGTCGATTAAATGTAATATCTGGAACTTCTTCGTTTCAACCAAAATTCTTTGATCATGTCGCTTCCTTTCTCGCCTATCATGATGATAGGGGCGTTTGTGTTCCCGCTCACGATGTTGGGCATGATACTGCCGTCTATGACACGTAACCCTTTCACTCCATACACTCGTAGTTGGTTGTCTACAACCGCATCAGGATCCCAGTGGGGTCCCATCTTCGCTGTCCCCACAGGATGGTAGATAGTGCAAGTGTACTGTCTGATCATACATTCCCAGTACGCATCAGAGTACCTCTTGATACTCACACACGCAGGAAAGACATGTTTATTCAATACAGAGCCGTATTTTTGAAACGCTCTCGTTCTAGAAAGTGCTACAGCAATTTTTACACCTTCTACTAGTGTTTTCAAATCTCTTTCATCTGATAGGTAGTTAGGATAGATGTATGGATAGTCGTATGGGTTTGCGCTTCGTAACTGAATAAAACCTTTGCTTCGCGGTCGGAGTAGCATAGGAATTATGCTCCAGACATCCATATTATTAATTGGTCTAAATACAGCATCATAGAAAGTATCCATGAGTCCGTGTACCTTACTAATCTGTTCCCCACCATCAGAATTTGTTGATCCAGAAATAAAATGAAATTCTATGTCTGGGAAATCGTCAGATGCGTTTACGTATTTGGTATTGACAAACGCCAAGCCTTCGACACCGCCCATAATGGTCAAAGGTCCTTCACCTAACATGGCATACTCCATTAATGGACCAGCGGTGTAAAGACGATGTTCCACAATAGATATAGGCTGGTTAACCATAAATGCTAGACCTCCCAACCCAATATGATCCTGTAAGTTTCTTCCTACTTTTAAATTCTGTATCAACGGTATTTTGTGTTTATGCAACTCTTCGGCAGGTCCTATTCCAGATAACATCAACAATTGTGCGGAGTTGACAGTACCAGCTGAGAGAATGACTTCTTTTCTGGCTCTGATGCGGTAGATCATTTTATTTCTCACAAATTCGACTCCAAAAGCGACTTTAGTTCGAGGATCTATCATCACTTTGGTAGCATGAGAATACATAGAGATATGTAGATTGGGGCGATCCTTTGCTGGTCTTAGGAAGGCTTTGGAAGTAGAACATCGGCTACCTCGTCGAATTGTTCCTTGTGCTTCCATGAATCCAGTTTGGTTCTCTCCATTTATGTCTCTGTTCATGTACCCTAGTTCAAGACCTCCATCAATGAACGTTGAAACTAGAGGAGTGTGATAGGGTGCTTCTGAGACAGTGAGATATCCTCCAGTGCTGTGGTATGGTGTCTGTGCCAAAGATGGATTTTTATTATCTTCTGACTTCTTAAAATAATAAAGCACGTCCTTGTAGCTCCAACCTTTGTTGCCCATAGCTTCCCAGGAGTCGTAGTCCTTTTTATTACCACGTAGGTAGAGCATGTAGTTCAGGACTGAGCTGCCTCCGAGCACCTTGCCTCGAGGCCAGTTGCATCGGCCGCCTTCCATTGCTGGAATACAGATAAAGAGATATTAACCTATGGAAAGCAAACATTATTAGGGCGCAGACAAATTTTATAAAAAAGGAAATTAAAATATAACTTGTTGTCAGAATGGGGATGATGACAGGGTATAAAAATTAAAAATATAATTAGTCCGTAAGTTAGGTAATTAAAAAATATTAGACACGTATTTTTTTCTTTTGTCGTATAATAAAACAATAATTAGATAAAACGAATCAAAGTTTAGAAGTGGGGGCTAAAACGTCATTTCTTAGTATAAAATGTACTGAGAAGTGACGTCACGCGACATTTCAAATCAATATATCGTCGAAAGTATTCGTTTCTGTAAGAAAATAAAAAATACGTGTCTAATGATTTAAAATAATCTACCAGACGGACATAAAAATAAAAATTAGTCGTCTACCCTATTACTTAAGGCTCCTTACCTAAGCAACTTGTTCCCGACGGCTCAGTCTTATACTGCCAATCTAGTTTGCTGAGCTGGAGGTATCCAGCGAGGAGAGGGACGTCCGATATCTCCGTCTCATCCCCACCAGCTTCTAGGAGTAATATCCTCCAGTGACTCACTTCTGATAGACGATTCGCTACCACTGCACCTGAAAACGATATCATATATCAGTACTTTTGTTTCTAAAGTGTTGATCTTATCTTGAGTTTGTGATTTATATCATTGTATATTCAATTTTTGTGTTTACTACACAAAAAATCTAGAACAGAGTTTCCTCCTTCTCTAAATATAAGATCCAAAGTTTTGTACCCACTAACCGGCTGATCCAGCTCCCACAATGATGAAGTCATATTCTGGCAGCATGTTGGTATCCCCAATGTCTGCCGGCCTGCCCTCAGGGTCTGTGGCATCGAACTGGTAGTATGCTATCGCGGCTACCAGCATAGGAATGAACCATGCTACCTGGAATTATATAGAAATCATGTTTAGTGGTGTTTTAATTAAAACTTTGCACTCTAGTGCAGAAGTGGATTTTATTTAATGTTAGTCTTGATCAGAATCAGATTTAGATATATTTGTGACTTCAAGTTGTTTTCATTAGATTCAGATCTAATACTTATTCGGTTAACTTATATTGCAATAACGATTGCAGACTAGTTGATGAGATATTGTATGAAAAAAGCGATTAAAGAGATAACATAATTTAAAGGCTTATTAAGGTCTTATTGATTAACGGTCGATTGCAATGATCTATTATGATCAAAATTTTGGATTAAGAAGATTGATTTTTACATAAAGCCCATACAAGTAATGTCAAAAATCCACATCCACAGATTTTGAATTATGATAGGCTTATTGAAATCAGTTGTACGTATACAGATGTAAACGGAACCCTCCCGAAAAGCGCCGACAGGTGATGGTTAAAAACAAGTTTTTATTATTATAAAAGTAAAGAATTCATTGTTTGTATTATGTAATAACAGTTGTAATCAACTGCTCAAAGCTGATGTTCCATGAATAACAGAAAAACAAAAACGATTAAAATCGTAAAAATAATTTCTTTTTATCAGCGTTTCGGGAGCGTTCTAGGGTTTATGTATGTTTTGTTCTTAACAGCAGCACAATATACATTTAAAATTTAAACCGCTTTTTTAGTTCCAGTAAAAGTGGTAGCTTACTCATATGGATAACGCCGGTAACCGGTACGAGCCCGGTTTCCAGTTTCCGGCTAAGTTTATGGACCTATTATCTAGAACCTACCTATTGTCATATAAAGTACCTACCTTCTGCCCGTGGCTTTGCCTACGTTCTTGTGGCAAAAAAAAACAGCAGACCATAATCTATCCCTGTTACAAATTTTACCTCGATCCCTTTAGCCATTTTGACATGAAGGAGAAACAAACAAACAATAGTACAAATTTCGCATTTATGATATTAGTAGTATTGGTAATTATTAATTCAGTACAAGCGCGATTACCCAGAAAGAGGTCGGTTAGGCAAATGCCTAATGTGAATTTTTTTCTAAGTTCTCAGGTTTATTTTGTGCCGTACCTTGCCGAGTATATTGATACTTGTTCACTGTATTGAACAAGATTTTGGCAAAATACGTAGTAATAATTATAATAAACATATCACATAACATAACATCACGCCTTTTATCCCCGAAGGGGTAGGCAGAGGTGCACGCAGAAGTAACACCCACTTTTCACTATTTATGTTATGAGTCCCATGTAATAGGGGGAGCCTATTGCCATATACCAGGCACATTTCCAGACTCCATGCTACCACTGAGATTTTTTTTAAAAAAAACCCCAAAATACTTTGCCTGACCCGGGAATCGAACCCGAGACCCCTTGCCCGATAGTCGCACTTGCGACCACTCGCCACCGAGGCAGTCAGTGATAATTATGACCTAAAGACACAATGTGCTAATTAAAATAGACTAATAATTGAACCGTCAGATAATATAATTTACTAACAGACTTCTGTGTTTGCATGTCAGCATGTAGGTACGCGAGCTAGGAATGTGCGAAATAATTAATCGACTTTTAATTACTTACGACTGCCTCGGTGGCCTAGTGATCGCAAGTGCGATTGCCGGGCAGGGAGTCTTGGGTTCGATTCCCGGGTCGTGCAAAGTATTACTGGGTTTTTAAAAAAATCTCAGTAATAGGCCGGAGTCAGGGATTGTGCCCGGTATATGGCATTAGGTTCACTCCCTATTACATGGGACCCATAAGTTATGGGCCATAACATAAATAGTGAAAAGTGGGTGTTACATTGTATAGTCGTATAATGTGCACCTCTGCCTACATATATAAAAGCCGTGATGTTATGTTATGTTAATTACTTATTTAGAACGTTTCGTCACTAAGAAAGAGGAGTCCATTTGCAATGTTTTAAACGAACGTAGTACAATTTATTGTCACAGTTAGCCAATAAGGTTCATGACGATTATAAAGATTAAGTAACAAAATAAGATAATCGAACTTTTTAGGTACAGTGACCAGCACATCCAACTACTCCATTGTGTCATTGGATTTTCGACTTTATGTCTATACTATAGCGTTCAATATGTAATAGAGATATTTGACAGAAAAGGGTAGGTTCATCTGATAGCCATACGTTATTCTCTGTCTGGCTATATACAAAGATAAAGCGAGACGAACCATATCTACATATAATAAAATCGTAGGAAAGTTAAAACTGTACGTCGAATATTTTTTTTTAATTAATACCTTGAAACCAAAAATATAGTTTTAGAATTTTTGTCTGTTTCTCTGTTTGTCTGTATGTATGTCCGGGATGTTCTCAAAAAATACTGCATGGATTTATGTCAAATTGTGCATGAATATTACTAACAGGTCGGGTCAATATATAGGCTACATATTGTCATTATCATATAGGCTACATAGTATCAACTACGGGGGAGAAGCTGTGAATAACTGTTCCATGCGGACAAAGTAGTAATATTATATAGTTATTTATCTATACAATATTATGCGTACGTATTCGTACAGGCGATAATATATTTTTTTTTAAATTGCTGAATCTTCTGTTGCAATCTTACACTCTAATCAACATCACTTTTCACAGTTCAGCAATAAAGGAAATCTCAAACAAATTGCTCTAACGATGCTAACAATAACAGGTACGTAAAAGCAACAGACAGACGTTTTGTGAACGGAGGTCTTATGCCTTGTTCGCACTATGCTAGTATTTTAGTCAAGTAACGAGAATTTAGTAACTCTCTCTCTCTCTCTTTCTTCGATTTTGGGATAGAAGCAAGAGGGATATACTAAACACTCGCTGCTCGACTGAAATGCTAGCATAGTTCGAACAAGGAATTAGTACCAGTTTATTTTACGAAACAAGTACACGTTCGCGCCCTGATTGGTTGGTTCATTGGAGCCAGCCAATCAGAGCGCCGAGCACAAATCGTTTCGATTACTTTAAACGTAGAACAAGTTGGTACTACGCCCTCGGAAGTCGGAAGTCGCTCGCATTGTAACGTCGCGTGTTGTTACGAGGCGAGCTAGTCAGCTGTGACGTGACGTCAGGTAACATGAACTAAGTACGAGTATATAGGTACAGCAGAAACAAATTGGTACTAAGAGAAGTATGTATACACTCATGACTTAGATACAACTATAGTTGCACAAACTGATAGTTCGCTAAAAGGAAATAACGCTGCACAGTTCACACTGGGCAACTGGCTGCCGCGGAACGTGTAGCGGGTTCGATTCCTACACGAAGCAACTTTTTGTGTGATCCATAAATTGTTGTTTGTAAACGCTCCCACGATACAGAAGAAACCGTAATGTGGGGCAAAGTAATATAAAAAAAATAATTCGTTGGTTTAATATAAAAAAAAATAATTCGTTGGTTTAATATAAAAAAAATAATTCGATGGTTTAATATAAAAAAAATAATTCGTTGGTTTTTCAATGGTATTCCGTATGACCATCCTTGACAAGTACACACGTAGTAGTACCTGGAATATCGCACAAATATCTACAGAGACGTCACTAGAGTTAACATAACACTTTGACATGGTATCTTGATAGAGTGTTACTGTCAAGTCCATAGATTATTATCTCTAGTCACTCGATTACATGAGTATAGATCTATTTTATGCACCAAACTTCACTGACAGACGTCTGTCTGTTCAGACGGACGGACAATTCAATTTTTAACTTGATTTAAAAGTACCTAATTGGAATACATGCTTTGACTTTATATCATTTAGCTCATAACACTCGCTTTGTACTTTGGTATAATCTAGGATTTTTCTATAACAACACATATTGTGTAATGTCACTCATCTTTACTGTCGCTGATGATAAAGTTACATTTACCTGTGAGCCGGCGGCGGCGGCGATGGCGGTGCCGGACAGCACGTCGGCGGCCGCGTTCACTATCGCACTCATCTTCGCACCTGTAACGTGATAAATGCCATATTAAATAACAATAGACACGACGATAGACAGGCAGACTACTTTGTATATTAGACTTTGTAATTGTCAGAGTAGACAGAAGTCAGTTTATAATTCATATTGTTCATATTAATACAATAGAAAATAAATAGGTACATTATGTCTCGCGTGGATCCACATTTAGACAGGACGGGTTAAATATGTCACTGGGAAAGCCGGAAAGTGATAATTTGGTGATAATTTTGAATTCATTTTAAAAGTTTTGTTTGTTATAGACAGCATAGATATTTTAGCCTTTCAAATTATATTAAGTTGTCCAAGCTAATAGCTTGCTGTACTGTAAGATCACATTCCAGGTACCTACATAGGTACAGATTATATCGTCAACATAAAAATCAAATATTGCGAGGTCAAATAAACTACCACTGTGTGTAATAAAGTTACAATCCTTAGCTAGGTATTCAGGCCATATTTTAATAACCTATTTTACCTAAGATAAAGTCTTGATATTCGCGAAAAGAAACCGTGTAATGCACCAGTAATCGTGTAACAGTGTCACTTGGCTTACAGAGTAACAGCTGATGAGTCGTGTAGTACCGTTATGTAGGTACAGGCCGGCGCGTGCGCCAGTCCCCACGTCACTTTTGGTGAAGTGGGACACTTAAAACTAACTGCGGCTTTCGTAGGTAGTACCTACTTTATGGTTTGTGAATTATTTGGTTTTAGGGTTCCGGGAATAATTGAGTTATATTGTGTTCATGTCTAAGGAATGTAGGTATTTATTTGCCGTGTTTGAACACCAACCAAAAACGTAAAAAAATAATTGTTTTTGTATCCATAATGTGACTATACAAGAGATAAATCTGACGATAAACTTGACGTTGACGATTAGTATTGTAATATCGATTGAGGAAAAAGTTCAATAGCTGTGCAGTGCAAATGTCACAGTCGTGTATTCAGTATTTTCAATCTAATAATTTCTTTTTGGAAAAATAAACCGTCAAAATCACATCAGCAATGATTAAATTATAAAGAAATCTCTCAGCTCATAGACCATAAAAAATTGCGATCGTCCACGCGATACTAATTGTATGATCATCAGCAATTGTGATCATGTCACGAGCCACGGCGATGGATGTTCGAAATTCGATTGAAATTCACAGACTTACTCAATTATGAAGTGATGGAAAGTATAATAATACACTTCACGGTACTTATATCTATCTTCAGAGCTATCATGAGATATAATAAATTATTTAAAAAGCTTTCTCAAATAGTTCACATAAGTCATTTGTCATTTTCAATCATACTTATTAAGGGCTTGTTTCAAGATGTATATTCCTATTAGCTTAACTGACACATAATACATTTCTAGAAATAGAACGTATAAACTACATCACTCCAAAAACGAAAGAAACATCTAAACAAATTATAGGCCTTCCGTACTTGTCTCCTGTACTTACATAAATCGTAGAACCACATGTCAATTACTTATGTCACACCATCACATGCAATATTGTACCTTGTGGCTTCACTTTCATCTCATTCAATGGATGTTTCGCCATTTTGATTAATTGGTTCTCATGAAAATCTAACTAAACTATATCATACTATCATGCTTTCAGAAAACAAAGTTATTTTAAACTCTATTTCTAAATACATTTGGTAATATTTTGAGTGTAGGTGCTTTTTGTAGTGTAAGTGCATTTCAGCAAGCAAGATAACGACTATCCCCAATCATGACATTATTTCGTTTAGTAAATAATAGAATCTGACTGCCTCGTTGGCCGAGTGGTTGGGTTCGATTCCCGGGTCGGGCAAAGTACTGCTGGGTTTTTAAAAAATTCTCAGTAGTAGCACGGAGTTTGGAATTGTGCCCGATATATGGCAATAGGCTCGCCCCCTATTACATGGGACTCATAACATAAATAGTGAAAAGTGAGTGTTACATTGTACAGTGGCATAATGTACACCTCTGCCTACCCCTTCGGGGATAAAAGGCGTGATGTTATGTTATGTTAAATAGTAGAAACTATAGGAAATTAATCGAACAGTTTATCAATTTAACTGCTAACTATTAAGGACGATATCGTAAATTCCATTTCCAGAAGCCATCAATTGTTGTGATAGTTACAAACACGAAGGTACTGTGTTCGAAGTTAATATTAATTCAAATTGACAAATATTGTAAACTATCTTGCAATGAAAAGCACGCGTCCTTATACGAAATATTATCGTCCTATTGAAATGACCATGTGTACCACACAGAATACGCAAACAACATAACATCACGCCTTTTATCCCCGAAGGAGTAGGCAGAGGTGCACATAGAAGTAACACCCACTTTTCATCACTATTTATGTCTTTAGTCTCATGTAATAGGGGGTGAGCCTATTGCCATATACCAGGTACAATTCCAGACTCCGCGCTACTACTAAGATTTTTTTAAACCCCGTATCGTGTTTAGCAAAAACAACCACCAAAAAACGTCTCTAAACATGTTACCCATTGTTACAAACCTAAAAAAAGCAAAGTAAACAATTGTTGTTATATTAGAAAGTGTACAAAGATGTCAATGTACCAAGACTTGCTTATTTATGTACCACCGCGGCATTACCTCCAGAATATTAAAAAGTTCCGGAGAAAATGTACTGGCTTTGTTATGTAAGGAACCTCCTTTTGGCAGCACTATTATTGTGTAATTAATTTATTACTTAGTTTAATTGTATTCAGGGCTCGGTGCGACTGCCCTTTCTAAGTTCTAAGAGTGGTTGCACAACACGAAATGTTTTTTACTTCGATATATGTTCGGTTAAAATGACAATCTTAGATCGAATTTAAGACGGTACCTATTTGAAACTCGATATACTAGGACTATGAGGCTACTCTCGAGTGTCGGTATAAGACAATAGAAAAGACATTGTGTCTCGCATAGGTCTACGGTCCAGCATGCCACGGGTTAATAAGTATGTGTCCTATTGATACACACAAATAGATTCTTAAATTTTTTCATGGTTGGAAGTCTCATCATCATATTTTATTAGCCACAACACGTCCACTGCCTAACGTAGGTTCCCCTTGACAAGTCAAGTAGCAGGTGATGCCTTGGTCAGGTTAAAATCCTCATACACATGATGACTATTTACAAAAAGTGTAAGTAAGGCACATGTTACTAAATACACAATGAAAAAACGCATTTCCCGACAAACAAGTGCTATGAATATTTATGAAAGAACACGCTTTGTGTATTACTATTATCCATGTACTTAAACCAACTACACTTTGTAAATCACGTGGTCGAAGCCGCGAATCTAATCGTCGAAAACAATCTCATAAACAAAGAAAAATCTACTTTATAAACAACTAGAATGAGGTTCATAATCCAACGATGCTCAAGACGCTGTCACCGACCTGAACAATGTTACACGATTAATTTACAAAAGCTTCCAAGTAACTTACGTTTCGTTTCACTTTCACAAATAAATCATAATACTCAAGAAAGCTTCATTCGGTCTCCAGTCTGCACTACACATTAAAACACTTCGATTTACTGTTTATTCCATTCCATGTAAATCACAAATTCCTGAACACTTTCCCCGCGCAAGCGCACACATCACGAAACCGTTATTTTTCGAACACTGAAATACAAATTCTTTGTCCGTCTCGTGTCCGAAATTGATAAGTTTGTAATACTTCGACTTTTCGAACTGTTTGAAAATAGCATCGACGACTACTTTCTTTGACTGTTGTTGATCAACTCCCGCGCATGCTGTCTATTGGGTAGCAGTGAAATGGTGGGAGTAGGGGGCTATGGTCTACTCTACTTGAACAGTTTGAACTTGCAGTGACGTCATTGGAAATATGTTAAAGTTAACTTGTGTTTTTAATTTAATTAGCCATGTAAAGGGATGAACCGTTATATTGTTTATTCTGTCTCTATCTTACCGATTTCTTCGCTTATTAGTTCACTTCCGCATGTAAAAAGGACGATGCAATAAAACGATTTTCAAATTGAATAAATGTGATTTATTCGATAATTACTACATTCGGCCATATAACGGCAAAATTTTACTGTTTTTACTTTCATTTTCATTTATATTTTGTGGGACATTAATGAGTTTCATGACTCATACAAACATTATACATATTATAATTTTATGTTTGGTATTTCCCCCAACACAAATACCTATGTGATGCAATTTATTTAGTGAATCGATTCTCCGTGTCTTCTACTTTCATAAAGATTTATGAATCATTGTCTGTTGAAGAAAGCGTGCGTCTTGGTTTTTTCTAGTTATTTCCGCCTTTCGATAGGCAATTTTCAAATTATGCCTATTTCGGAAAAAAGGTGTTAATGCGAACTTAATATTTACCTTCTTTCTCCAATCTGTATCGTTCCTTTCATACATTTTGTCAATTTACTCAATAGTAAATTGTTATATTAAGAAAATAGCTCCAATAACATTCTTTGCTCTTACTTTGAGGTATAGGAGACAGTTGTCATCGTAGACTAGCACCATTGCGGGTCTACGGACGGTGAGCAAGGGTAGCTCGCCGCCCGACCAGAACCAGACCCGTGCGTACGGCGCGTCGCGTTCCGCGCGCTTAAAAGAGCCATCAGACCACCACAGATGGGGCCCAGTAGGGCTGATGCCCAATAGTAATGCCGGAAGGCCTAACGGGTTGCCGGGGCTCTGGCTAGAAGAGCAGGAGTAGGAACGGGGTGGATTTTAGTCAGTAAGAGTCTGACACTCCCTCTCGCCTAACCCAAGGCGGGATAAGTCATTGAATGATTTTCCCCCCACAAAAAAAAGACTAGCACCATAGTAAACGACTCTGCAGGTTGTATATCAAAGCATGCCTAATTCGTAAAACTTAATTTGATTTTTCGTTCAATTGAAACGAAGCTATAGGCACTTTTCAAACGTCAGAATAAAATTGTCCGTCGGTCTATCCGTCAGTGAAGCTAGTTGGTCATTCCAAAATGAAGACTCGTATTGGAAAAAGCATTTTATGTTAGGTATTTTTAAGTGTATAGTTAATGAACAATGACTAACCAAGTGTCCACATTTTGAGGTCGGCCGACTTTCATCGGTGGTGTGCGTGATGTTCCACTCGTAGCGCAGGTGGTGGCCGGTCACGTATGGAGCCACGTCCCAGAGGATTTGACTTGCTTTGTCTTGGAGAATAGAATATAACAGTGAATTCCTTCTTGGATTATTCCCATGCATTTATATTTCTGAAAATTAACTGATGTGAAGGTCCCAAAGGCTACAGGGGACAATTCTTTGGTCGATCTAGTTAAAAGTAAAATTTTGTTCAATTTTCATTTTTTTTTCAAATTCAGGTTTTTATTGCATTATATCATGTGTACCTACAATAGGTGTTATATAATTGGGTACAGTTTCAACATGAAACCCGGTTAGGTCACGGCAACATTTTTTCAACGTGTAGGAATATATAGAAGAATATATGTTGGCTCGTTAGAGTTCTGTCTGTACCGTGAGACCGTGTAACTATGTGATATGATCGAACCGACGACAGTTACGCACCAGTCTGTTGACTAGCCACTGTATTGACTGTATCATCATCATCACCAGCCGCCGGAAGACGTTTACTGCTGGGCATAGGTCCCTTAGCTCTCCACGTCGAATTGTAGGTATAAAACATTAACGTGTCACTGTATTCGGCGTATGAAGATGTTCAAGACAGATACGAATGTCACAAGTATAAGTGAAGATTACACTTTCATAACATAACATAACATCACGCCATTTATTCCCAAAGGGGTAGGCAGAGGTGCACATTACGGCACTTAATGCCACTACAATGTAACACCCACTTTTCACTATTTATGTTATGAGTCCCATGTAATAGGGTGTGAGCCTATTGCCATATAGTGGCACAATTCCAGACTGTGCTACCAGTGAGATTTCTTTAAAAACCCAGTAGTACTTTGCCCGACCCGGGAATCGAACCCGAGACCCCTTGCCCGGCAGTCGCACTTGCGACCACTCGGTCAACGAGGTAGTCAGATTATATTTTCATCTACCAATAATAATCTGTAAAGTTACGTCATACCAATTATCCTCCAATAGAAAAACTTACAGAACGCTTGTTGCGCTGGAGTGTCAACTGTCAAGTGACGGCCATTTACCCACAATTACCGATGAAAGTGAATTCGGACTCGACTTCTAAGTATCGCTCTCGAACCTACTTTGCATATCTAGATAACTTTATTGATTCGTAATTCATTGAACTAAGTAAGTGAGAGTACCTACTATTGGACCGGGTTTGTGCGCTGTGGTAGTAATGAATATTCATTTATGTTATTGATGACCAACTTTTACCTGCTATGCACTATGAAATTGGGTGACGTCCTTCTCCACACTAGCAACATTATGTATGAACTTAAAGATGGAACGATGAAACCGATAGAAGGAATGTTAAGAGAGGTAACAAACAACAGGTCGTGGTGGCCCGGAGGTTTAAGACGCCCTCTTCTCATGCATGAGGATGCGGGTTCGAAACCTACCAACGGCATGTACTTACCAAAGTGACATTTTCCGAGTTATATGTACTTTCTAAGATTATCTGGATACCACTGACAAACGGTGAAGGAAAACATCGTGAGGAAACATGGGCTTATAATTTCTAATTATAAGTTTGTAATCACCAACCCGCATTAAGCAAGCGTGGTGATTAGTGCTTAACCTTCTCCGTGTGAGAAGAGGCTTTGCTCAGCAGTAGAAATTTATAGGCTGTTGATGATAAACAAATAATCAAACTTACTATTGCGCTTAAATTATATTTATTAGGATACATGTGGGGTGCTTGTTATAGTTTTGTCTCTACGTAAGTAGAAACATTGTGTAGGATATCACTTCATTTCTTCAAGGACTGTTGAAGAAGGAATCATTTCATGTGTATCTGAAGTTGTATCATTATCTAGCTACATCATAATTGTATAATTACATAATTAACTGTCTGGCGACTGACTGACTGTGAAATGCATAATATTTAACTTGATACCCAATTAATCATACAGTTCAGGGCCTATGTGATATTGATAACACCAGAAAGTGGTCACTAAACTTATTTTATGAATTTTCAACCTTATCCTTCTGAAATAGAGTTAAAATTATAATGTGTCACAATGCTTACAAAGTTATATATAGCTTAACAATGTTCATTGACTATTATTAAAGAGCTTCTCGTATTGATCAGAAAATAATATTACAACAATTTTAAAAAGCAGTTCTTTGATTTTGTAATCAAGTAATTCTAGATTATTCCATAGCAAGTCAATCCAACTGTCCAATTAGTAGTCAGGTCTCGTTACTCCGATGGCAGAATGCCGCTCGCCACGCAACGCCCATAGCCAATGATTTAATTAATATTAATTAACGCTAGATGGTGCTGATAACTAGATACACGTACTGGATTAAAATAATACGTAGGCACGGCATATAGCATAATACCTCTCGATGCTCTTTTTATTATCTGTATCTATATTTATCTTGGACTTAATTAAATAAAATTAAGCATAAACAAATGAATGAACCAAACATTGGCGTGATTTTAGTCAGAATGGTTCCGATAGTCCCCTTTGTCTTCCTCTAGTGATAATTCCATAAAGTTTTTCTACTTTAGGCTTAAAAAAATCTCTTGAGATACTTATCTTATTATTATTATTATTTTATTATTTATTTATTTCAGACAGGCAGTTGAAACAACTGATAAATGTCTGTATCGTATTCTTCTATCAGTGGTTAATTCGATGTTGTGTATCTGTCAAGTCTGTTTTTGAACTGGTTAACATTCTGTGCAGCGATTACATATTCTGGAAGCCTGTTCCATGCTCCGACCACGCGATTACTCAGAAATTGTCTGTGAGGAATATTTTTCGATAAGCTTTTACACAGCTTAAGGTGGTGGCCTCTAAGATGAACGTTTTCATTACGTGAGAACAGTTGCTCGAAATCAGTAATGTCATAATGTCCACTCAAGATCTTGTATGTCTCAATTAGGTCCCCACGCTGCCTGCGATCCTTCAATGTGGTTAAGTTCAAAACCTTCAAGCGCTCTTCATATGGATGCTGTTTCAGTGCTCGTGGTATTTTGGTAAAACTACGCTGTACTTTTTCCAAGTGTTCGATATCCTTTACGAAGTAGGGGCTCCAGACCTGAAATGCATACTCTAGGACGGGCCTGACGAAAGTTTTGTGGATCTTAAGCATCATCTCCGGAGTCAAGACACCGAACGCTTTCCTGATGAGGTATACAAGACTCTTGGCTTTTTTGGTGATCGAAGTTATGTGCTCTTCCCACTTTAGATCCTCGGTAATCTTTACCCCTAAGTCTGTTTGCACCTTGACCCCTGTCAGTTCAGCGTTACACAGTTTATATGTCAGACGAGGATTACTGGTACCTATATGCAGTACCGTACATTTAGAAGCGTTGAGGTTGATGAGCCACTCCTTGGACCAGTTTGCTATTCTGTTTAAGTCCTCTTGAAGATGGTTATAGTCAACTGTCGGATCCGCAAATATTTTAGTATCATCAGCAAATATGCTGACTTCACATCTCAGGCAACTGGGAAGGTCAAATGTGTATATTATATACAACACTGGGCCCAATACAGACCCTTGGGGCACTCCGCTATGCACTTCTCGATGTTCTGATAATGTCTCACCGATTCTTACTCGTAAAGTTCTTTGCCGCAAAAAGGATTCGATCCAGCTCAGTAGTTTTCCGCGTATTCCCACGAATTCCAATTTCTGCAG